AAAGCAATGGGTCTCCCCAAACTTATGGGGACCTCCCAGCCTTATTGACACAGTCAACCATTACGCAAATCAACCCACCATCATGCCTTTCCCAGATGCAATTCCTTCTAACAATCTGCTTTCATACAATCAACAAAGTTGAAACTGGGCTTGAACAGACATTCCTTTACTTAGTCTGATCCAGTGTCTTGAAAGTCAAACCAGAAATAAAATAGGGTTGCACATCATATATTCAGTCAGCGATGCATTGGGTAATACAGATAGGAGTTATAATATGGGTTTATAGAAGGAAGACTGGTGATTACCGTACAATTCCCTGCCTCCAGGACTCCTCATGAGTCCCAGCAGAGCTCCCGCAATCGGTGGGGCGAACCTCCCACAGAGGCCTTGGCGCGGTCTTACGGGTTGCAATCCCGCCTGCCGCCTTCCTCTCAGAACCGCAAGACTAGACTTAGAATAAGAAGGGCAGAAGGAGAAAGATTTTCAGACTCTCAGATCCAAGGGAGGTGCTTTCAGACTCGCAGGAGAGGGCCTTGATGTCTTGGTGCGCCTGAGGGCCCCGCAATGGCAGCCAACGTGACAGTTTGGTCAGCCTGAAGCCATACTGCCAAGGTCAACCCTCTACCGATCTCCTAGCCGGCAGTAATAACCTCCTTCTCCAAAACTCAGTCACTTCCCCAAGCCCATCCGGCGTAGCACCGCAGGCTGCAATAGCCAGCCGTGATCAACAATGGGTGCTAATAGCATGCGGCCTCCACCAGCTGGCCGCATCCTGTGCACAGGTAGCCACTGCGCCCAGTCAACAATAGCTAGCCTGTGCGCAGTCCCAAGGCCAGACAACAGGTTCCTGCGGCAATCTCAATTACCACCATGCCGCATTCAGTGACGCCTGCCCACAAGCCACCGTGACTCACACAGGCGTAATCAGCAGCGCAGTCCGAGGTTAACACCCACCAAAATACCCAACGAGCGCACAACAGAACCCAGTCAAAACGTCGTGGCAGTTCAGCACGAATGGTGCATGCGTATCGGTGGTGCTCAGTAGTAACTCCAGCAGCAAGCACTACTACCCCTGCCAGTCAGCCGTCCCGGTCCAGTACTACTGGCTTTATTACCCAACAAGTGCATCACCCCGCAAGACTCGCATGTGGTACAAACCAGCTATACGCAGCGGGGTAGCGACAGAGCCCGGACGATAACATCCGCACATCCAACAAGGGCCAAAGCAGCACATAATCAGTGCAGATCACGACTGGAGCCCCCAGATTTGCTGCTCTCCGAGCCAGGAAGTCACTCCGATGAGCCCCCGTCATCCCCTACAGGCAGCACAAGCATTCCGACCGAGTGGCCTCTACCCCGATGCTCCTGACCCGCAATGTCGGTCAGGTCCATTACGCTTCCCGATCTCCGAAGGTAGGCGGGACCACGCGCCTCATCACCGGTCCCTCCCTGGTTCATGCGCACCTCCGCTCGGACGCCCGGGTCTACAGATGAGTTACTATCCCCTTGGCTACTTACCCGCTATTCTGCACGACCGAGTGGATCCGTCCCCGAAAACGTGGGAAGGTGCGCTCGCTATGGCGCCGAACGACAGTAAGCCCGCCTCGGCCAGGTAAGCAACCATCCTTCCCTCTCTCACCCTCTCTCTCTCTCTCTCTCTCTCTCTCTCTCTCTCTCTCTCTCTCTCTCTCTCTCTCTCTCTCTGACTTCACCCCCGACAAACCCCGCTGTACGCTCCCCCTGTCTCATTTATTCTCGGATGTACCTGGCACAAACCTGCGTCTAGGTTCATTCGAGTTTCCTCCCTCTATTCACTGCTGCGCACGCCCTCTCCCTACTAACACCAAGTCCACTAACTTACTCTCTTGTTCGACTTCTCCATCCGATTCGCGGTCCAAAAGGAACACAATTTACGACTTTACTCCGCTCGATTCTGTTGAGAATCGAGCGAAATATTGCACCTCTTTCTCATTTATTTCCCTTTCCGACACTCCTCGCGCAGTGTCCTCCTCTACTAACTTTTTCTATACTAATTCTCCACTAAAACTAACTCCAAAATCGAGTTCGCCCGACCCTAAAACCTCTACGTAGCACTTTGTCCCGGCGAAATCGGTCAAGACATGACCGAAATACACCCATTTCCTTTCCCTCACCCCTCCACTTTCCGCCATCTTCACGCAGCAGTTCTTCTACTAACCTCCCACTCTACTTACCCTTAGCCAAATCTAACCTATCATCACATTCGCCCTACCTCTAAACCTCAGATTTGCATCTTTCCCCACCTGTTTCTGTCAAGAAACGGGGGAGTTACTTCCTTTCTTGACTCCACTATTCAATTCGCCACCATCGAAAATTCCCACTTAGTATCTTTCCCCGCCCTATTCTGCTAAGACTCGGGCGAGCTATCAGCTTTCTCCCTCATCTACTACGTTTCCCCCATGGCTTCACTCTCCGAATGAATCTGGCGCGGAAACGCGCCTTGATTCACCCCTCCCCTTTCTACCACCACCGCTGTTTCCTCGCTGCCTTACCTCAACGCCCGCCGTGTTCCGCTGCAGTCAGCGCAACCCCCAATGCCCGTAGCGGCCCGACAACAGTTGGCCCTTCGAAAGTTCCTCACTGTCGGCCCCGCACCCGATTTTATACACTCCGCCCGCGTGCCGGGGCCGTACTAATCTTCTATGTATCATTCCAATTTTAACAGATGTCCCGAAGGACCTAGCCGGGGCAGTGCCCCGCGGCTTTCTCAAAAGCCACTCGACCTTTTTACCCCTTTTTGCACGCCCCTGGCCTACTCCGCGTCCGGGTTCATTCCCGGCCTGTCTTGCGCCACACCTCCTGTGCACAGCGGCCAGGCGAACCCCTGCCCTGTTTACGGACGTTCCGAAGGACTTGCCTATGACAGGGTAGCGCAGCCTCCTCAGGGCCCGCACGATGGCCCCATCTCCAAATTTTTGCCTGACCTTGGTTCGTGGGTGCGCCCACTGTAGCAGGCCAGCGGCCCAATAGTTGTCCCAAAAAAAAAACAAGCAAAAAAAAAACAAGGAAGACGACATTAGCCCCCGACGGCCACAGATAATAAATGTAAATAAGATTATCCAACGAAACCCAATCAATATATAAGGGCGCGGGGCCTACTAAGGCCCCTTTGGCATTGGGTAGCGGGCCCACAGCCGGGCGCCCCCTAACCTTGATCCCCCCACGTCTGTGGCAATGGTCCAACGCCATAACCTATAGGGCTAAGCCCAAGCTTGAGGCCAATATCTGCGGAGTGCCACATAAGGCGGCGCGGCGCGGCGCTGCGCTCAGGGCCAGGGAAATTGGCCTGAGCCTTATCTCAGCCTACAACCTGTCTCTTATACACATCTAGATGTGTATAAGAGACAGATATATAAGGGCGCGGGGCCTACTAAGGCCCCTTTGGCATTGGGTAGCGGGCCCACAGCCGGGCGCCCCCTAACCTTGATCCCCCCACGTCTGTGGCAATGGTCCAACGCCATAACCTATAGGGCTAAGCCCAAGCTTGAGGCCAATATCTGCGGAGTGCCACATAAGGCGGCGCGGCGCGGCGCTGCGCTCAGGGCCAGGGAAATTGGCCTGAGCCTTATCTCAGCCTACAACCGTGCGCGCGGCCGCCCAACGTCTGCGCCGACTCGCCAAGCTGTACCACGGCCGCCACTCGCGTCGCTCCGCGCGCCAAGACCTACCGCAGTCACATTATCACCGTCGTCGCCGCTGTCGAGGTCGTCCTCCGCACGCACGCGTACTTCAGTCAGCCATACCAACCAAGGAAACTCCTGGCCCAATCAGAAATAAACGAAAATAAAAATAAAGATAAAAATAGGGACGAACCGACCGGCGTCCGCGCCGGCTTTATAATCAACGATAGAAATGGAATCACGCGCGCCTCAAACCTGCGCGCCCACACACTCTTTACTCTAGTCGACCACCCCGTCAACATAAATCACAGACGCTGCTGCGCCTAGCGCGTTATACCCAGACTTTAAACCAACACTAGCTGCAGTCACCTGCAAGAACCAGGGCGAATACCCTTACAAGGGTATTCGCTCCGACAACGTCGAAACCCACTAGATCGCAGCCTTAGGGCTGCGAATTAGGGACAGTCAGACCGGGTTGTTTTTGAGGATTCCCGACCCAAGTTTGATTTAGTTGTGGCCAAGATATGGGAAAGGAACTGGCAGTTTTGGTTGGCACAAAAGGTGGGTTGTGGACTCGAAAAGTCAAACACATTTGCTACACTTGAGGTGAATCTCCGCCAGTACGCCACAAATAAGTCAAACCTGGAGGGACCGGTGAAATGGGACCTGCGGTCCAGTAAGGGCACCGCGGAAAGTTGTACCCCTTGCTGACAGGAGCCCGCAGGAAAGTTCAGAGGCGCCAGGGGCACGACAGGGTAAGTCGGCCGTCGGAGGGGCACGCCAAAACAAAACCGAACTTTCAGGGGCATATCGAAAATCTCTCGCTTTTTCATTTTCTGTTTTCCGAAGCGGATTGTCAAAAGGGAACACGTGGAGTTCTCAGCCGAATTTGTCGGCAGTCTCGAACTTCCACCGTCGGTGTTTTTTTATTTTTTTTTATTTTTATTATTATTATTTTTTATTACCTTCGGTGTTTTCTCTTCCCCGCCCGACCTACCCCCGCCAGTGCACTGAGGGCAGTGGAAAACCTAACCTTGCCGCGATGGCCGAAAATTTGGTTTTGCTGACGTCACCAAAAAATATTTCCGGGTGATAGCAGTCCTTTTGATTGAAAACGGAGGGCCTATCGCCCCAACCGCCGCCTCATGCGTGGCCACTGCTGGGCGCTTTAGCCGCCGCGCTATCATGCGGTCACCGCTCTCTGCCATTTTCGGCCGACCTACCGTCCTGTCATTCCCACCCCCTCCCCTTCCCCCCTCCATCCACCCGGGCTTGCAGGAGGAGGGGGGTCGTTTTGGGTCCTGTGCGCGGGAGGCGATGCTCAGGGTGTTGCCGTTGGGCCCATGGGCTGAAAGGGAAGAGAGACGGTGTGAATGCTCGTGGGGTGAACGATGAGCCCTGGAACTTCTTAGCCCTGGAACTTAGCCGTGGAACTGAGCCCTGACCTATCTTCGCATCCATAGCCGCGGCTGTGTTCCGAACGACTGGCCACCGTTCGATCCTCGGGATCGACGGTTGTCGTTATCGGTCTGGAACGGAAATCAACTTCTCCACGTGACGGTTGCCCAGCTCCTTCTCGTCTTCCACGTGGCAGATCTGTTGCCGCCATAGCTACACTCACTCAGCACCTTAGCGGCCATGTCACTGGGTGACAATCTTGGGCCTTATGGCCCTGTCTCGGGGAGTGTACCTGTAAGTAACCACCGAGTTCCCCCTTATTGACCTTTTTTTTTTGGCTTTAGGGTGTCGTTTTCTTCGACCAACCCTCTGCCTACCATTCTCCACCAGTCTATCTCTCGATTGTACACTTTGGCTGAAACTCCACTAGCACGGACTAAGACTAAGGGATGCTGACCTTTGATCTTGGCTATCATACGGTCAGCGGTTCCTAATCCGTGCTAGCAAAGTGTAATCTCGCACAAAGTTATCGTCTATTCCTGTGGTCTGCCTCCTCCCTGCCCTCGGTCATCCTCTGCTCTCTGTACCTTGTGCGGCCTCGTCGAACCTTCTCCTGTCTCCTTCCCTTGTTCTTCTGCCTTCTCTTGCTTGTTCTTTTAATCTCCTTCTTCCTCTCTTCATTTCGTCTCCTTTTTTTGTGTGCCTCTCTCTCTCTCTCTCTCTCTCTCTCTCTCTCTCTCTCTCCTCTCTTCTTCCTC